GTGTTTCTGTTTGTTCGGTTGGTGGTGGTGGTTGTTGTAGGATGTTTTGTTTTGTGTTTATTTTGAGGGGAGTTGCTGCTTTGTCCGTGCCTTCTTTGCTCTGTACCTGGGGAGGCCGCCACCTGCCAGGAGGCAGGCAACAGGTTAGTTGTTAGGGCCATCTCAGCTGTCAGATGGCTGGGTGGCTGTGCTCTGCACGGGAGGCTGGCTCTGGAGATCCCGTGGACCCCGCAGGCGTCCCCGGATCCCAGCTTCTGCTTCCCCGTCATCCCATCGGGCTGTCAGTTGTGCCTCTGGACCGGCTGCCTCTCAGCCTCAGCAAAGCAGAGGAGCTAAGGATGGCGGCTGGGGAGGGGGGAAGCCAAGGATGAGACGGGGATTCAGACTCATCGTTCACAGAGAAGCCAGGAGAGGAAAGGTGAGAAATCTCGGTCCGGCCCAATCAATGAATTTTCTCTTAAGGGGGTGGTACAAAGGGAGGGAGAAAGGGAAGGACAGATTAAAAATGAGTCAGAGAGCATAGGGAAAAACACATTCATTCTCCTCTCCCTCCCTTTCTCCTCCCCCACTTTCTCTTCCCTCCCTCCCTCCTCCCCTGTTTCTTTTAATGCAGGCTGAGCAATTTCTAATCAACACTTGAGTTTTTTTTCCCCCTCAGTCTCTAGCAGCTCCTTCCTTGTCTTTCATTGCTGAAATTCTGCTGTATATTTAGCCTCATGATTTCTTATTGTCATTGCGATGCTGCTTCCTGTAATAGATTGTTGTCGTTGTTTCGAACCAAACGCAATGCTTATCAGCTGTTATTCTAGCAACAGGTGCCATCTAGCAGTAGGACCTGAAGGAGGGTTCACTCGGTCTTTGTTCCTGAATGTGGATGGTGGCGTTTTCCTCCTTTCCTGGCGCAGAAGCTGTGAGAAACGCTGGCGCCGTGTCCACTCCGCGAACACACTCCCGTGCGGGGAGCGGGCGACGGGTTTTCCTGGAGGCTTGTGCGCCTCCCTGTGATGAAGATTGCTCGCTCTATTCGCATTTCTTTTGGTTGCCTTCTGGCTTTACTCCATCCATTCATTCATTCATTCATTCATTCCTTCATTCATTCCTTCAGCCATCCTCCAGGCACGGTTTCCTGTGCTTTGTAAGGGTTCCAATAGGTGCTGAGGATGAAGAGAGAAAAGACACAGTCCTTGTCCTCAAAGAGTAGTCAGTCTGGTCGGCGACTCAAGCGAGCTTTCCAGTGACTTTGATGTTGAAGCAGAAGGTCCCCTGATGAGAACCGTGGCCACACGGGTGGCGCGAGGGGAGCGTGGCAGAGGCACACCCAAGCCGCACCTGAAGTGGATCCGACGGCGGAGGCCTGGAATGAACTCCCAGAAGAGGTGGTGGCCGCGGCGAGACACGTGTTCCCGCATGTCGGTCAGCTGCGGACTTCCGGCCACGTGCGGGCGCCGTGCCGGGGTTACGAAAATGAATGAGACACAGCCCTGCCTTCCAGCACCCGCCGGCGGGTGGCCGGACACGGTTATGGAGTAGCCTGTGCCAAAGCAGTAATGGAGCTCTGCACCCAGTGCTGTGGGGGTGCTTCCAGGCGGCTGGAGCCTGGAGGGGGCCGGAGGCATCCAGGAGCGGTTGTTACCTGGTGTGGTTGGCGTTCAGGCAGATACCTGGTGCCTTTTTTAGGAGAGGCTTGGATACGGAGAGTTAAGGCGGGGATTAGCCCTGGAGAAGGAAGGAAGAGTGGCTTCCGGAGACTGCTGACCCCTCCGCTTCCATGATCTCCTTTCCTGTCCTGCACTCCTTTCGGTTTCTCTCCCTCCTCTGTTCTCCTTTCTCCTGGGGAAGAGACCTTGCTCTTACCAGAGCATCTTCTTTCAAACTCCTTATCACAGCTCTCCCCACTCCCCCCCACCCCCCCCCCCCCCCCCCCGCCAGATGCTGTCCTCTGGACCAGAACAGGGCGGCTTGTTTGGGTATCACGCTCTTTAGATTTTACACTCACGTGACTCTGTGGGGTGGCTGGTTTTTGCAGACTTGGAATTGTTAGTACTTGTAGTCTTAGTGCAAGTACTTGGTGCTCAGTACAGTGTTCGTAGTTTTGGTACCAGGACTCGGTTGGTGGATGGAACCTTGACCTGGAAGTTAAGGATTGGGTTCCAGTGCTGCCTGCTCCACAGATTGACTATGTAAACCGTGGGATCTGGGTCTCATAACCTGGTGAATGAGATGACTTCTGAGGTCACTTTCAGCTCTAAGATCCTATGATGTAGAATCTTTTCTCCATGTAACTTTGATGAGTTGGAAGTCACAACTGAAGAGTGACAGGTCCAGTCTTCCTTTTGTAATTCACCCAGGGAAGAGCCACCAGCGAGCTCCAGTTTCTTCAGCCTTTCCCTGATCACGAATGATTGGAATGAAAGACACCAGCCTGGGGAGGGAGAGCTCTTGCTAGGATTTTCAGAGAAACGGATGAGGTAGCACCCAGTGCTTGGTGGATAGGAGAGGGTCCACTCTGAACTCTTAAATGTGGTCAGATGGGGAACTGGCAAAGCAAGCCAAGCACTGTGGACCAGGTGGGATGAATCCTCCTAGAGCCAATATGGCCCTAGAATGTCCCTTCTAGTCTCAACTTTCTGTTCCAGGACCCACTCACCTCCTCGCTTCTTTTGACATTTTAGCTTTTATGTCTCCTTTTCTCCAATCAAGAATATAGAAGTATAATGTGACGGTTCTTGTTTGTTTACATGCTATCATGCTCTTCGGTATGTTAAATGGCTTTCGTATACATTATGCCTTTTGATCATTCTAAGTAAGAATGGCTGATATTACCTGCCTCTACTTAAGAAGACAAAGACTCAGAATAAGTGACTTGTCCAAGTCCGTGGTATCTTATTGATCCAAAAAATAAGAAACAGTGACACTGACTTGATACAACTTGGTTGTTTCAAGTGCCTGAATCCAAGTGAAACATTCTTTTCTGCTTACAGTGGGTCGGAGCAGAGCTCTTGATTTAAGCGAACATACGTGGGGTCTATTACGGGGCACTGGGTAGTGAGGCTCAGAGTTCATGGAACTCAAGGAAATATGGCAGGGACTAGTGATAAAGAAAGCATTTAGCTTTTCCACTTCAATTCTAAGATCTAAAGTAAGTGAGAAGTGCTCCAGTGAGGCCCAGAGAGCAGAGGATGTGACCCAGGGACAGCAGATAACTGCTGGTAGATCAGAGCCCATCCGGGACTAGGGGCTGGGGCTCCGCACCCGGGAACCGCACAGGATGTAGCTGGGGCGTGTGTACAGTTGAAATTTTGGTCTTCCAGGTAGTTTTTGGCTCTCTGAAAGTGAAAGAAGGCATTTTGGGTGACTAGTGTTCTTTATGGGCCAAGAAACAGAGAAGAAGTCAGAAGAACATGCTGCTTCCTGTTCCCCTGCAGTGTCTGCAGTCCTGCGGAAAGTGGTGCCCCGCATCAGGAGTAGAACCCTCATTCAGCTGGGATCCTGCATCGTCACTCCTCCATGCCCTCGGCTCATCAGGAGGCAGACCCAGAGGCAGTGCAGGGAGAGGGATTAGATTCAAACTGACCTGGATTTGAATACCAGCTTAATATTTTACCTTATTTTCTTTGGCTTGAAAGTGGGAAATTAACTTCCGTTATAGGGCTGTTGTGATGATTAAAATGGAATTGCGTAAAACTCCCAGCACAATGCGTGGTACACAGTAGGTCCTCAATTGCTAATTATGAACCCCAAATAGGCCTATCAGCCAGCATGTTGATACAGCAGGGAGCAACCTCCAAATCTCAGTAGCTCGTACGAGCAGACATTTGCCCCTGCTCATAATACACGGGAGCTGAAGTCAGCTACGAGTTGGCTAGAATTGGTGGACTTGGCTCAGTTTCGAATGTCTTCTTGTTCCAAGACCCGGGATGAAGAAGCAGCCACTAGCTGGGCCTACCGTTGTCATGGTGGAGGGCTCAAGAGGGTAGGGGGAGGGCCTGGAGTGGCCATAGCCAAAGCATGCATCTGCCCTTTAAGTTTCTGCTTGGACGTGTCTCATGGCCTTACGTGTCTTACGTACTCACATTCCATTGGCCAATGCAAGTCCTTGGAAAAGCCCATGGTTTTTGAAGTGGTACCCTGCCTACAGGGAACAATGCAAGAGTCCAGAGGGAAAACGAATTGGGAATAATCAATAAGACGATCTATTAACTGGGTTAAATCATTCCGCAAATGTGTCGAGTACCTACTATGTAGCAGAGTCTTTAAAAGGTTGCAGGAGAGAGTTTGTCATTTCATGGCAGGGACCACTGAATAGGAAGTTCTTAGGCAATGCGATGTCATCCTCTCGGGTACTGTGACTGCAGTGAGAGCAAGAGGAGACTCCTAGAAGAAGTGATAGCCGAGCAAGTTTGGAGGGATAAGGAAGAATTACTAGGGGAAAAGCGGGATGGGAGAAGAACTTGCAGAGGGAACAGCCATGTGCAAAAAAGACAAGAAGCAGCGAGGACCTGATTTCTGAAAATTACAAACATTCCAGTGTGGTCTGGGAATTTGGTGCCGCAGGAGGGATGAAGGAGAGCGGCCCCCTCTGAAATGGGGCCAGTTGTCCCTTCTACTCCTGAAGTGGCCGGAAGGAGTAGAGTCACAGAGTGGGTTAGTCACAGAGTCGCAGAGTGGGTTAGTCACAGAGTGACCAGACACGGAGGAGTGGCGGTGGCGTGGTTGGATGTGCAGGGTGAAGGGGCAGGAGTGTCAAAGATGGCCTTCAGGTTTGTGGCTTGGCATCGCTGGGGATGCCATTTGTGGGCCTGACCTGATACAGGAGGAGAAACATGTCAGGGAGGGAGATAAAGTTTCGCTGTTTTGCATTTCATTAAAGTAGAGTCTAAGCTGCCCTAACAAAGAGACTCTCTAATAACTCACACAGAATAATTCCTTTCTCTCCCCTGTAATAATCCAGGCCCAGTGGGGGTGAATTTGGCCACTTGGAGCAAGGAAAGCGGAGGGCCAGGCAGGCAGCTTGCCTTTAGAAAGGTAACCCAGAAGTTGCACGTATCACTTCTCCTCGTCTACCTGCATCCCGAACATACGGCCACATTAGCTACAGAGAAGCCAGGGAACATAGTATTTGGCTGGCTTGGCTGGCTAGATTAAGCCCTGAGAAATTCCATTACTGACGGAGGGGGCCCCTTAGTGCCTCCCTCTATGGAGTGACAAGGTGGAGGTGCTTGTGTAACATCCACATGGAGAATGAGGTTGTGTCTTTGGGTCTGGAGCTCAGGTGAGAGTCTAGACATGGAAATACGGATAACGAGGTGGTATAGGTTGTTCAGAACTTTCTTATAGGAGTTTTCTCTGTCCAAATGGCCGGCCCATCTCAGAAATCTGACCCACCCAAATGAACCAGGACACTTTCCAAAGTACCTCTGCCTTGCAGGCTAGGGACTGACCTCTTTTCGTGAAGCTTTGGTCCTGTTGGAACAGCAGGTAGGCCAGCTAGACATTACCCAGGAGCTCATTTCACATCTCTGGAAGACAAGGCAAATCAGACAGAAAAGGGATATGCTTCTGGCTCTCATCTGCACAGTGGCAGCCGAGAATGGGAAAGCATGGCTCAGTTGGACACAGGGAACGTATGCTTAATGAATGGCAAGTTCTGTGTGCACAAGTACAGCGTTATTGGCAGCAGATAATAAGCAGGCCATGAGCAAAGCCTACCTGAGCCAGGGCAGCACTGGCATTCACCGTAACCCCGTGGAAGACGGGGAGCTATTGCTGCCTTTGAGGACTACCAGGGAGAAAGTATACAAGAATGCTGTCACATTTTTAAAGTATCCAAATGGCACATCTGGTCACCCTAACACTGAAGTGGATCAAGCAATCAGGTGTCATGAGAGCAAACAAGAGAAACTGATCCTGGCCAATTGAGGCAGGAAAGGAGTTAGAAGGAAGCTGATTAACTTGCAGAACCCATGGGAAAGCTGCATAATTGGGCTTAGATATTAGGCAAATACCAAGGGAATGTCCGCTATTCTTTGTAAAGCCTTTTTATTTTATTTTTTAACCCAAGTACATCAGGAAGATGATGGATTGTTCCTATTTTTTTTAGGGGAAAAAAAAGACCAAAGCTGACTTGTCTTTTCCTTTAAACCTTGAGCCTGCAGGGCAGCATTTCTCCAAATACTTTGCTCCCATCCTGACAATGCCACTGAGGGATGGACAAGCTTTATTTCCTCTTCTGGACTATGGACCAAACCTAGAGGAGATGCGTGGATACTTCGTACTCATCTCCTACACTTAGGAAACCCGCCCGTGGCAGGCAGTATCTTAAGAAATTGGGACAATATGTTGAAAGCGTGCAGGCAAAAGATAAATTTCTTAAATAAGATCTAACGCGAAGGCAGGAGAAGGAAGATTTGTACTGTCATACGGAATGAAGCAAAACCTCAGGAGTCTGACGGCCAAGGTATGCTGGGGAACGGGTGATTCTGAGGTCAGAATCCCACTTCTGGAACTTCAAGGACGGATGAGCTTTATACGAAATTTCTAAAGATGAAAATCCCTACAATGATGATTGTCCATGACCTTCAGCAGCAATCTTTGTTTCTCTAAAAGGGGACTGTGCTTCTTGAGCTGCCTCCCAAAGATGCTGGCAGGAATAGCTTACCAACTAACTAGTGGGGAAAAGGAACTTGCCTTGGAAAAAAACGAAATGGCTAAAATAAGAACAGCTTTGCTTTAGATACTGCTTTTGTTATTCTCGCAAGAACACGGTTTGTCACGTATGGAATCCTTTCCTTTCCATGAGAATTGGGGCAGGACCTTGTTTGGCCGCATGAAGGGAGGCATGGTCTTTACTTGGAGCTGATCTTCCCTGGCCTAGTGACTAGCTGAGGTGGGGGCTGCTCTCTGAGCTGCCGCGCATCACTCTACTTTTAGGCAGCTTTTCTAAGTTATTGGCCAGAATCCATTCTCTGTGCTGGGGGTAAGTCACTCCTTCATTTATTCTGTCATCCACTGATTCATTCCGCGTTGTGTGAGCTTTAGCCATATTCTGTGGCTTTGCTACATACTGGGGATACAGGGTCAACCAAATCCTGGTTCCTGCCCCCAGGGACCCTAGAGTTAGAAATGAACTTTGTATTGAATTTCTCAAGATCAGGGACTGGTCTTTCAAATCAATTTTCCCAGAACTTAACAGAGTGTTTTAAAACAGACTTTTGATTGAATTTGAGTTTGATAGGCAAGGGGAGTTTCTCTGTTGATCAGGGGCGCAGTGACAACTACCAGCATGGTCTGGTGGTCTAAGAATGAAGATTCCCGCCTCTGCAAATGTAGAAAAACACGTAATCTCCAGTGCCCACCTTTGATCCTCAGTGTGCTGTCTATTTGCTGCTCTCGGTCAGGAATCCTAAATTTTACTGATGCCTTCTATAAAGGATGATTCCTTACCTTACTTCGCTTCTTTTGCTATCTTTTGCTATCTTCCCTAACCTTTTCTCTCCAGTGTTCTGAAATACTTGCTTTCACTTGTAGGCTGAAACACAGATTCTTTCCTTACCTCTATAAATCTCTTTATCAGACACAGAAACAGCAGTCCCTTATGGTGTCGCCAGTGCCTGGACTCGGAGGCCCATCTTTCCCATTGTGCCAACGTATGCATGACCCAATGCTTCCCTCTCTCTGGCTCGCAGGGACTCCCTCAGTTACATGCTCTGGTGTTTCCCCAGCGAAAGGAATGACATATTTATAGCTAGAGAATGGAAAATGTTTTAATATGTCTGGAGTGCGCTTGGGGCCAAATCACACTGAAGACCTCATATGCCGTGTCTAGGCATTCGGGTCTTATCCCGGAAGGAAAGGGGAATCAATGGAAATCTTGAAGCAGGGAGCAGATATGATTGGATATGTCTTTAAAAAAACAACTCTAGATTAAAAAAAAAAAATGTGGAGAGTGTATTTGGCCAGAAGTAGGGAGACCACGTAGGAGGCAATTATAAAACTGAGGAGGTAATGAGACCTATGTGAAGTGACGCTCAAGAGCTTTGGAGCCCGTCAGCCTGGGTTCATATCTGACTGTTACTTGCCAACTCTGAGATGTTAGGGAAGATACATACATTCTCTGAGAAACAGGTTCATCGTGTATAAAATGAACATAATAACAACTGTAGAATTTTTTGAGAGAATTCATTAAGATACTACATGAATAATGCATAACACAATTTCTGACACACAGTAAGCATTTCATAATTATTATTTAGTAGGAGGAATAGAAACCTAATTTAAGGGGGTGATGGCCGCAATAGAGAAGGGTCAAATTTGAGAGCTGTTTAGATTTAGTGACCAACCAAATGTATTCGAGGACGGAGAGGAAGTCATCAAAGCTATGATTTCTATCCGAGGTGATAGGATGAGGGTATACTGGCAGAGGAGCTAGAGAGAGAGGAAGGACTGCTCTAGAAGCAAGGAGTGGGAAAAGAGATGATGAATGGGGTTAGACATGTTGAATTTGAAGTATCTGTTAAAACATGCAGATGAGGCTTCAGAGAGCTGAGGGTCTGAGACTTAAATGATAGTTGGAACCGTGGGAGGGAATACGATTTCTCAGATCAAATGCACGGATGAACACCACGAAGAGGCTGACCATTTTTAATTTATTTACCTGGCATGCAAAGATATTCTTATTAGCCTGTATAGACTCCAGCGTAAGAAGTACTAGGTTTTTGGCATCTGACAAGGAGTGAAATAGAAAAAACTCTGTGGGAGGCAGGACCAAAGCTCAGGACGCTAACCTTACCCCAGGGCAGATCTCTTGGAAATGAGAACCAGAGGGAGGGTATTGCCAGGCCGTATCTCAGTGCCCATGGGGAACTATCAATCTTAGTTTTCGCCCCAGTTACATACTCTCTCTGAGGGGCCTGATCTGGTGGTAGGAATGGAGATCCCATATGAGAGGTATTTTTCCAGGTTGGGTGGTCAGCCACACGGTTTCAGATTTGGTTCAGTCATGTGTCGGGGGGAGAGGAAACAGCACTCAATCCTCTGGAGAAGGGGCTACTATCGTGGCCCAGGTAAACAGACTGGAGCCTAGAGTAAGGTCTCAGTCCCAGTTGGGCAAATGGATTGCAAATCAGGGGGAGACCGTCTAAGATAAACACAGGTTGAGAAGGAGATGGTACGTAGTGGGTGTAAGGAATCCAGGCCCTCACCCAGAATTCAGGGTTAGGGCCAGAAGAGCGATTCCAGACCCCACTAGAGTGGGTTGGGGTTCCTAAAGGCAGGCTCAAGACCCGGGTGGCATTCATCCTACGGTTTGAAGTTCATAGAGCTAAAGCAGGGATTGGCATTTCCATCTTTCTTCACTCTTAAGGTCCTTAAAGATCCGATAAACTGGGATTTACTTGAGATTTTTCATCCTGTCTTCTCCAGTTGTCCAGATGTATCCTTAGCTGAGAGTTCCAGGGTTCCTATTATACCTGCACAGGAGCACACAGGGTTACCCTCCATTTCTGATCTCCAGGAGGTGCCTGTGTGACTGTGCAGTGATGAGTAAACCCAGGCACTGTCGCTGTTCAACTCCTAATTACCTATTCTAGCGTTCCTGTGCAGTTTCTGCGCTCTGCCCTCTACGCACTTAGCGTCTCCCGTCTTGGTATCTGTGCTCACCCAGCTCTAGGTTCATAGCTTCCCAGAAGTCAATAGACTGTGCTTGACAGGAGCACCAGCTACATTTATTGAGTGTTTGCCATATACCATGCTGTCCTAAGTACTCGGGTTCAAATTTCACTTAGCCTTCAGTCAATTCCGTAAGGTAGTTATAATTATCCTGGTTTTACCAGTGAGGAAACTAAAAGTGGTGAGTTGGGAAATTTGCTGTAGGTCATGCAGCCAGGAAGGGGTAGAGCTTGGACTCTAATTTAGGACTGGATCCCAGAATCCATGGCTCTCGCTCTTATGCTGTAAAATGGTAGATGTTTCTCAGAATGTATTCCTGATTCTTTGGAGCATGGATTTATATTGTATGTCCTGGAATGAACGGAGAACCAACGAGACTACATTAATAATTAAGGGAGTCCAATAGCTTGGTCAAATGGCTAATCTCGTTAATAGAGAACAGAGCTGTAAAGGAGGTTATTCTTAGTAATCACCTAACTCTCTCACAAACAAACAAACAAAAACACAAAACCCTGACCAAACAAACAAACAAAAAAATGTACAATACTTTTATTTAGCAACGCTTTTATACAACACTTTGTCTGCCTTCTTTGCTGGTTTTATTTATCCTAGAAAGGCTAGGAAATGTGATTTCCCAGGTATATATAGCCTGAAGTGATAGCAGAGAAGAAAGGCGGTGTGGTCAAGTACAAAGTGTTGTACTGGGAACAATGCCTGTGATTGGTTATTCAGCCTCAACCACTGCTAACCGAAGTCCCTTCACCTCTCTGTCCCATTTTTGGAGAACTGGAAAATTGGAGTGTGAATAGGGATTTGGAGAAGAATTACAAGGTTAAAAATTAACGCAATGGAATTTAAGGAGAAATTGTAAAGAAATTTCTTTTCCCACTCCAGCTCTGTGAGTTAGAGAGCAGTGGAATTAGCCATATCAACATTTGGCGTGGTGGAAGGAAGCAGTGGAGCCTAGAAACTGAGATTCTTCGGTGAGCTTCCAGATTGGAATTATTTGCCCCTGGATGGGGCTGATGTACATAGTCTGGTTATCATCAAGCCTGTTGGTGGTGGACGTTCATGGAGATTCAGGAGCCTCAGTGTGGGAGGTGAGAGAAAAAGCAGGAAAGGTGAGGGAGGATTAGCGTTTGAGATCTACCACTGCAGGACATGGTCACAGTCCTCTGCGGTAGGGTCTCCTCCGGACAGGTGCCCAATGACGTAATGCTTGTTAACAACCCTGTGAGTAAGCATTATGAGGCTCATTTTGTAAGTGAGGGCTGCTTAAGAGGCTTCCTTAAGGCCTCATTGCTAGTGGATGGCCAGGTGGGATTCGAAGTACTATCTATTTGATTCCACTGCTATTCTATACCGTGCTATCTATGACACATGTAACCGTTTTCTCTGCAAAGTCTTAGAAATTCCTGTAGTGATAGTCATTCATGTGTGCGCGCGCGTTCCTTCATTTATTCTATAGCACTTGGTAGGTTCAAAACACTACGATTTGGTGAATCTCAAACACTCTGTTGTACTCACTTCCTCATGTTCACAGAATGCGGAAAATGTTTTCTCCCCAGAAGAACTTAGAACCTGGTTTTTCATAATGAGAGGTGCTGGTCTGGAACTCCGAAGACAGGAGCACAAGTGTGGTATTTTGCCTTTGTTGAGGGTGATTCCATAGGAGACACTCGTAGGTAAATAAGTGTATGTTGGAACCGTGAGAGTGAGTGTGCTTTCAAGATGTCATTTTGAACACTGGCAGGAATAAAGGACAGAAGGCGCCCCGCGGAAACTGTTCCTTCCTCGCGTGCCTCAAGTCCACTGTAATTCTAGGGTCTCAAGCTCCCGGCAGCTGACTTGGCAGACTCCTTCCTGGATTTAATTCAGAGCGTCTTTATCATGTCTTTCTGTTCATATTCCTTTCTCTGCCTCTCATCATTATTCTGTTTCTGCTTCTAGGTTAGATCAAGGTAGAAACTCCTGATTCTCTCACTGAACTGAGAAAGTTAAGTTGTCTTTGCTTGGAATTTCTAGATCTCACCATTAAGTTAATAGAGACCTTTTGCCTCTCAAATACTCCCCTGGTCTTCCATTCACTGAAATCTCCCTCTCTTTCTTGGACAAAGCCTCGGGCTGCTTAAACTTCTCGTTTGCTTTCTAGAGTTCTTTCTCCCTTTTCTAAAAAATTTATTTTGAGCGACAGAGAAAGAGAGGGAGACAGCATGCACAGCAGGGCAGATAGAGGGGGAGAGAGGGAATCCCAAGTAGGCTCTGTGCTGTCAGCATGGAGCCTGACGTGGGGCTCAAACCCACAAACTGTGAGATCCTGACCTGAGCTGAAATCAAGAGTTGCACGCTCAATCGACTGAGCCACCCAGGTACCCTTCTCTCTCTCCCCCCCCTTTTTTTTTTGATGAACCTTCAAAGCTTTTGAACTTAGTCTACTGCTTTTGATCTGAAAATCTTCATTTCTCTTAAAGCTTTCATTTCCCTTCATCTCTGTCCCCTTTGCTAGCTTATCATCTGGAAGGGAAGTCACTTCCTCCTGAAGTTATACTTCCCAGCTTCATTGTTTTTATTTATCAAATATTAGTTGAGCACCTGTGGGCTTCACAAGCCAGGACAGTAAGATGAGACACATTCCTTATCTGACAAATCTGATGGGGGTGACAGGCATGAAAAGAAATTCTTGCAGAGTAATTATAAGAAGTGTCTAGAAAAGGATGCTGGGATTCTGATGGCACAAAGGAGGAAGTGATGAATGGACTGAGGGTCAGAGAAGACTTACAGAAAGCCTTTGACCTGGGCTTTGAAGGGTGGAAAACAGCTTCCCAAAGAAAGAAGTGAGGAGAAAGCATTCCAGAAACTAGGAGCTTCATGTGCAAAGACCCAGAGGTGTGAGATAGCATGTCCCACCTGGGGAAACTGTTAACTTGTTTGGTTGTTCCTGGAAGCTGGTACTCAAATAAAGGTGCCACTACAAGTGAGGCTGAGGAGGTAAGAAGAACTAGATGATGAAGGACCTTACATCTTTTCCAGGTGCTTTGGGTTCTATCCTGAAGGCCAGGGAGGTTGAATGAAGGGTTCTAAGAAGGAGAGCCACAGCAGCCAGATTTAGAAAGACTGCTTGAATTATATAACAAGGAGAATGGATGACATGTGGGCAGTGGCCGGCGGGGAGATGAGACGAGATTATTGTAATATTATAAGCAAGAAATCAAAAGCACCAACAAAAGCAATGGTAGTGAGGTCAAAGAGGAGGGAAGAAATATTAGAGATGTTAAGAGATCAAATGGACATGGCTTAGTGACCGACTCGATATTGGGAGTGAGGGCAGGTTTCTGGACAATGCAGCCAGATGGGATGATGCCGTTAACTGTGATGGGGAAAGCGAGGAGGGACAGATCAGGGAGGTGAGGTGGAAAGGCGCGACTGTGTGATGGGAGGTAAGGTCCAGGGTGTGGATACCACTTGGACATATTCATTGTGTTTTGCAGCCATGGCTGACGGCCTTCAAGTCACAGTGCCTGACAAGAAGAAGGTGGCCATGCTCTTCCAGCCCACCGTGCTCCGCTGCCACTTCTCCACGTCTTCCCATCAGCCTGCCGTCGTGCAGTGGAAGTTCAAGTCCTACTGCCAGGATCGCATGGGGGAATCCCTGGGCATGTCCTCTCCCCGGGCCCAGTCTCTCAGCAAAAGAAACCTGGAGTGGGACCCCTACTTGGATTGTTTAGACAGCAGGAGGACTGTTCGAGTGGTAGCTTCCAAACAGGGCTCGACCGTCACCCTGGGAGACTTCTACAGGGGCAGAGAGATCACGATTGTGCATGGTAATGATGCCTCCTCTTGGAATCCAGGAATGGAGGGGAGATTAGTTCCACCCTCCCCCCACACAAGGGGATGCCAGCGTCTCAGCCTTGCAACCCCTCAAGATTTTGATTTTATGGGAGATGGGAGCAATCAAGAAGCTTAGCAAATTACTTAATGGGACAGTGAGTGTAGAAAGTGTAAAGGGTGTAATATCTAGGACAGACACAGAGATGAGCTTTGGAAATAGTCTTTCCCGGTCCCGACCTCTAGTCTGAGGAGCTTGTTATCAGAACTGAATTGAAACAGATTCTAGTGAAAGAATATTCTCAAAACCTTACACCTTGACATTAGCGTTTACGGCCCATTCCCAAACTCAGAAAACCCACTTCCCTAGGAAGTTGCTCTGCTGGGAGAAGGGATGAATGCATCAAGTTACAGAGCCGGGTAGATGCCATGGCCCAAACCCCAGGTGGTTCTGCATCAATTCTACCCTTCCTTCTGCTCCCTAAAGCTTTGGACAAGAAAAGGGCCTAAGAGTCTGACGTGACCTGTGAATTTTGAAGAACTCCTGTGACGCCAGCTCATTTCTGGGAGTCCAGGGTGACTCTGGAATGTATCTGGCTTTCAGGGGCCTCTGCAGATCTGGTTGGTTGCAAGCAGTCATCTATTCCCAAAACTGAACTGGCCCTAGACCAGTTTCTGGGGACACACTAAGTGTCTCACCTTCGGGATGCTATCGTTTGCTGTTTTTAGGTTTTTGTTTGTTTGTTTGAAATAAAGCGAACAGCTCGTCAGCTGCCATCTAAGTGGAGAAGTAGACCTGTAAACAATCCAGAAGGGCCCTTCTCTCACCCTCTAGTGTTCAGTGTTTTCCTTTCAGGGGGCAGTTTTAGGACTGGGCACTTCTTTTTGTGATCACAGATGCTGATCTTCAAATTGGAAAACTCATGTGGGGAGACAGCGGACTCTATTACTGTATTATCACTACCCCTGATGACCTGGAGGGCAAAAACGAGGACTCGGCCGAATTGCTGGTGTTGGGTAAGTGAAAAGCATCAGCAGCACCTGTGTCTTCGACCGCCTCACTTCTCCCTCCATATCCCAGCAGGTGCACACGCGGGCTTTATCGTTTGTGCGCAAACTGGTTTCCGTACATGTTCTCTGCGAGCAGTAGGCGTTACTGTATCTTGTTTCTTGGAGGCTGTGCCCCCTCCCTTTTTTTAGCATTGTCCTGGGTGTTTCTTCTGCTTTCTTAGAGTTGTTTTTCCCTCCTTTCCACTTGTGTACCTTTAACCCTGATTTCTCTTTGCTCTTAAGCTTTACTTACCTTTTTATACGCTAAGTGTTGAAGAAAATGCCAGAGGCTTTTGAAGCAGAATAGAGACAATTGAGAGAGAAGAATTTGTTGGTGGGTCAGGATCTCCTGAGACATGGGGAATCGTTTCCCGTTCAGTTACAGACACTTAGGACAATCATGAGGAGGGGTGGCTGTAAACTAGAGAGTTTAACAATAAAATGTTCCAGGTGAAAAGAACCGTCTGAGAGTCTGCTAGTGTTTATTGGAAGGCAAATGTCTTGAAACCTAAAAGTGTCTGAGTCATTCTCAAAGCAAATATATCTGATCCTCATTAATATTAATTTGTTCATAAATGAAAACTCACTATTCTTGGCGACTTTTCTAGTGGATTGGAGGAGTGTTAGTGGGAGATGACCTCCTTGTGATGAAACTGAAAATTGAGCACATATTTCAATGTTCTATAAGTGTTGGTTGAACAAGAAAATTAGAGTCAAATATACAGAAATTGAGAAAAGAAAATGCATTGATTGTAGGAGAAAAATTCAAGCAGTTTTTAAAAGAAATGACATTTTTTGTAGTTTCAGAGAACCCAGGTGATAATGATTTTTAGGAATGTTTAAGGGTGCTTTCTTTTAAAGGCAAGTGAGGTTGAAGGTTAATTTTTACCCTGTGTGGGAAGCTCAGTGCCTAGGGAGAAAGTCGAGTTTGCTATTTAGGGTTTTTAGTTTTACTCTATTATGACCGCTTGCCTTTGGCAAATCAACTGTTTTGCGGCCTTACTTTTACGGTTTATCAAATGGATAATTTATTAATAATTCACCCTCTAATTAATGATAACCCCTATTAAAGGGTTGACTTAATTCAAATACATATTCCTTGGGTCTAATATATAAAGCGTAGCTGCTGCGGTTTGTAAAAGAATGGAATCCAGATACACAAAAGGAAGTAAGGTAAAAAGGCTTAGATTCACACTGTAAAAGAATGCGGGGAAATCAAATTTGGGATCTGCTGTGACTCTGTAAATCAGAGGGGAATAGAAAGATAAATTTCTGCCCAATCACACAACTCTAATGGCCAAGTTTGAAGGAACAAGTGGCTCATTGAACCTGCAATTAGCTAATTGTGGACACAGTTATTTGGCTAGTGCAGCCATTTGCAGAGAAGTAATTGCCTGTGCAGGAAATGAGGCCAGGTAAAAACCACTTTAACTAATTTGTTCCCAGTTCTGCAAACGTGGGGAAACAAATAGAGTGAGAAAGCCTTGTCATCTGAGGATGTGCGGCAAGTATAGGAAGGGCATTTCCCTGGATCGAAACACACGGTCGCTAGGGGGACGATGCGGTCTGTTCGGAGGACAGAAAGAGGCGGGTGAGAGAAAGGCTCAGCTGAAAATGGTCACCAATGATGAGAGAAAAGATGAAGAACAGAAATCCGTGTCCCTCCAAAAAGAACAGTAAAAGAAAACTGGGGAGCCTGAAGGTGAACTCATCACAGTAGAGGGAGCTTATCTGTGAGATGAGCAGATACATGCTGGGGTTCTCGCAGGGGAGAAACGTACCCTTATGCTGTGCTCCACATTAATTAGAAATGCTCAGAGTGTGATATATTTGCCATGTAAACTTTTTTTTTAACGTTTATTTGTTTTTGAGACAGAGAGAGACAGAGCATGTGTGGGGGAGGGGCAGAGAGAGAGGGAGACACAGAATCTGAAGCAGGCTCCGGGCTCTGAGCTGGCAGCACAGAGCCCGACGCGGGGCTCGAACTCACGGACCGTGAGATCATGACCTGAGCCGAAGTCGGTCGTTTAACCGACTGAACCACCCAGGTGCCCCTAATTTGCCGTGTATAAACTTTTTAGGGCAATACTAGTTGTGATGTTTATTGAAAGAAGTTATTTGGAAATCTGTGAGAACTTTCTGGCCACAGAAACTACTGGATTTACTTTCCAGATGCAAAATTCGGAGTCGTCTTTATCTTGACACCCTATAGAGAATGAGTCAAAATATTGTCGCGGTTTCTAAAATTCTAATTATTTGGTTGTTACATCCTGTGGGCCTGATTGTTAGGTATTCCTTTTATGTGAGCCCAGGAGAGCAACCTGATGTCTGAGGTCAATCTCAAGGAGTCATGAAATCCTCAGGGATAATATAACTGGGTCCACAGATTGCTAATTACAACCTCCATGAGCCACTGGTTCAGTCATTGAATTTTAATGAGGGATGGTTGGTTGGGAGGAGCTGAGAGGGTTTGATCTAATGAAGGCGGACTTGGGAAAGGGATTATGGGAAGCATGTCCACATATCAGAAGTGAAATTGTACAGAAGAGGGACTGGAAGCTTTGCATGGCTGGGTAGAACTGGAACCAGGAGTAGAGGTTACCAGCGGCGGGAATCCGTCTCAGTATGAAGAAATAGCTCGTAGCCATTGGAGACATTACAGATGGAATAAGTATTCTGAGGAACAGTGATTTCTTTGTCCCAAGAGGGTGAAAAATTTCTTACGAGTTGTTATAAATGAGACATTTATGTATAGGAAATGGTGTGTAGGTAACTTTTGAGCTTCATTTCAGTTTTAAAATTTTGGACTGAAAAGTAGATAGACATGAGGGATGTGACTACCTTGACAAATGAGCAGATGGCCTCCCAGGACTTCAGTCCTCGTGACAGAGATAGAAGGGGTACAGGTTGGTTACAAGACTGTACAGGGTGATGCTCATTCACAAGGAAGCCACAGAGAATAGACTGTGGTCTTTTGCAGTAGGTCAGGGTCAAAAGGACCAATCCCATGAGAATGAGGAGAGACTATTGATGGTGCCTGGAAAGAGTTGAAAGTAGCTTTCCTTGGAGATGGTCACAAAGTGGGGAGCAGAAAGCTGGTTGGAATTTCAGATGACCAATCAGTAAGGAGAGATGAGTTAAAGGGGTCAATTAGAGGCAAAGTTGAGTTTATTTTTCTCACCATACTCACAAAGGTGAAGGTGGGAAAGTTGACCGAGCACAGTTGTGAAGCGGCTTCTATGTCAGACTAAGGAGTTTGGACTTCATCCTGAAGACTTTGGGGATCCGGTAAAGAAATACTAAGAAGAATGAAGTGAGATTTTAGGGTCAAAACTATAATTAGCAGCAGTGTAGACAATGCAAAAGGAATGCTAGAACAGAAGGATGGGCCCTGGGAGTGCTGCAGCAGTGGGGATGAAAGCATAGGAGATTCTGAACCAGAGCAGTGAATTGAGAACAACACAGAAGCATTTCTGAGGTGGAAGGTGACGGATCTTGGTGACTAATGTATAAAAGGAGAGAGGAGAGAGGGAGGAGTCAAAAGGATACCATGATTTCTAGCTAGCTGGGTAGGCAGGTGTTCCATCAACTAAGAGAGGACGCAGGTTGGAAACCAGGTTGGGGAGGCAGGAGAATGACTTTGGTTCTCGACAAGTTGAACAAGAGGCCTATGGGAACCAAGGTACGGATGTCTTGCTGACTAGAAACGTAGGTCTGGAACTCAGTGGAGAAGCCAGGATCCGAGAAGACAGATTTGAGAATCCTGAGTCATAATCAGAACCATGAAAGAGTAGATGAGTCACCCGCGAAGATTTTATAAAGTGGAAAGGGCCAAGGACCGAACCTGCCAGTCTTGTATTCTAGTTTTACCTCGTGTGAGTAGTAACCCTGGTACTGCATGCGTACTCGTCTTGATTTCTCCCACAACACTGGAAGCTTCTCAGTAGCACTGGACCATGTGGTCTTCAGATATAGGACCAACTCTCATTTGTCTTCATATCTGTAATGCCCCGCAGAGTGTCAGGTATAAAGAGGCTGGTGTGAATGTGTTTTTGTTTTTAGTGACAAACGGTCAGAATCTAATACTTTATGCTTCTTAAACGTTAGTCAGTGCTGAGTATACATTTGTTGCTTTATAAAGGGTCAGTGCAATCAATGCATACAGTCCCAAGTGAGATAACATGGTTTAATCTCACTGGTCATCATTCTTCCTCTGGCTGTTGAAATCGTTACTGGTGACAGATCCATCAGGGATGTGGTTGAAAGCGACGGAGGTGAGCAACTTCCGCGGGAAAAGAATTTGTTGGAAGGGTATCATAACTGAAAGGAAGCCTGGAACGTCTCTGAAAAGGATAGTATGTGAGGGTGACACTTGTTAGTTTCTGTAAAAACACCCCCCAGTCACACCTCCCTTCTTACTACAGAAGTCTATTACTTCCTCTTGTCCTAGTCAAATGTGGGTTAGGAGACTCACCTGGGTAGCTCCCTTCCAGGTGGTGGAATGGGACTCTAAGCTTCTCCCTTGTTTGGCTCAGCTGTACTGGAAACATTGACTCTCAGCTGCTTAGGAAGAGAGAGTGAGAAAGGTCATGTGAGACTTTTCAGCTGCCAGGTCTGGCGGTGACATGGGTCACTTATGCTGTTACTTTGTATTTCCCCAGGAAAAAAGTAAAAGTCTTTTTTAGTGAACACAGCACAGTCCTTGTGGTGCCAGAGATGCTCTACGGTCTACGTAGCAAGAATAGAAAATGGGGGCGCCTGGGTGGCGCAGTCGGTTAAGCGTCCGACTTCAGCCAGGTCACGATCTCGCGGTCTGTGAGTTTGAGCCCCGCGTCAGGCTCTGGGCTGATGGCTCGGAGCCTGGAGCCTGTTTCCGATTCTGTGTCTCCCTCTCTCTCTGTCCCTCCCCCGTTCATGCTCTGTCTCTCTCTGTCCCAAAAATAAATAAACGTTGAAAAAAAAAAAAAAGAATTTTAGAAAATGTCTTTAGGGCTCCATAGCCAGAAAAAAAAAAAAAAAATCAGTTCAGTTGTTTTTTTCTGGTTTTGCATTTTCCAGCTCAAGAATCAGTTTCAGGAGAGAGTCTAGTGGGCCCAGTTTGGACAGGTGTCCAGTGCTTAGCTTTGGGAGACCAGGGGCTCTTGGCGGCTCGTCCATCCAGATATGGAGAAGAATGAATTCCCCAAAGTAAATTGAGGCACTGTTACAAAAGAAGAATGGATGTGAGATGCCAAAAAAAAAAAAAAAAAGTCCACCAAAGTAATACCATTACTCTGATACTAATATTAACATACATTTCCTAATGATACTAATATTAACATACACTGATAATAATTTGTAGTTCACAAATTTTTTTCTATAATGACCATGTAATAAGGTAGGATAGCAGGTATTATTTTCCTCATTTTCCAAGTGAAGAAATTAATGTTCAGGTTTTATGACAATCATCCCAGTAAAAAAAAAAAAAAAAAAACCAAACAGTATTGATGATCAAACCTAAATGTTTAAAAATTTTTTTAAATGCTTATTTATTTATTTTTGAGAGAGAGAGAGAGAGAGAGAGAGAGAGAGAATGAGAACACACAAGAAGGGTAGGGGCAGAGAGAGAGAATACCAAGCAGGCTCCGTGCTGTCAGCACAGAGCCCGATGCAGGGCTTGAATTCATGAACATGACCTGAGCAGAAATCAAGAGTTGGCCACTTAACTGACTGAGCCACTCAGGCACTGCCCCCCCCCCCCCCACCTTTTAAAAAAATGTTTTTTTGTTCAAACCTAAATGTTTTGATTCCTAGCCTCCTTTCTTTCCACAGTACCACATGACCTGTGTATATTAAGAAGCTATAGAATGCTCCCCTGCATAAACCATGTTTTAAAAATTGTGATTGCTGCTTTGAGGTCATGGGCAATCATTTTTACTTGTCCCAGATTAGCTTTCGTATTTCACTTTATTTCTAAGGGCAACTGCCTATAACCGTTGACCTGGGCGCTCACTTCAAAGGCATAGTTGCCATTGCCTGGATTGCATACCTCTCCCTGAGTGTGACCCCACCCTCCTTTCCCCATACATCTGAGCCCTCTACCAATCGCTCTGGATGCTTCTTTCAGAGGTTTCAGAAATATCTGAAGACAAGTGATTCAGAGAAATGGGAGGACAACCGCTGATTCAACATTAAACACAAAAACTATACTGAACGTTCTTTAATCTCTTTTTGATGATTCAGAAAGTAAAGTCATACTGAAGTTGGAAACGCACTTGGTGTTTTTGGGTGCTTTGAGATGACTGTGCCAGGTACCTTAGAAACATTTAGATGTTTGGGATCATAGGGCCATCCCAGCAGACAGAAGAAGGGAATGTCCAGGAACCTGCCACCCTGAGATTAGACATTGGTCTAAGATCTGTGGCAAGGACAGGATGTTTATAACCTGGAACCATGCCACTGTTTGGATAGAAGTAAAGTTCCCTCGGGCTGCTCCAGCTGGCAGGAAAGGACTTCACCATTCAGGAAGGCTCAAGCAGAGAAGTTATTATTTTAAAATCTAAAAGCAGCTTGCCTTGCTCTTACTTCTCTCTACGCACAATATGAGGGCCTGACCCCTTCTTTCTGATGTCCCATGTGGTAGCTTGTTTTTGAAGTGCCTTCAAATAGAAGAATGAGGGAAAGGGCCCCTGTGGAAACATGGGTGGATGAACACTCCTGCTTCTGGACCGAGAATAGAGTAAGAGAACATTACCTAAGGGGTGTTCAGATTAAAGCTAAGGAAGACTTTCCTAATGGTAACTTTTGGAAATTATGGCTGGCGGAGGAAATGACGGAAACTCCCTCTCTGATGAGCTTTCAACATTGAACAGGTTCTCTTGTCTAGAATATTAGGATAAATAAGATCGCTTTCAGAGTCCTTTCTAGGATTTTGATTTATTTAAAAGATCCACAGATTGCTGGGGTGCCTGGGTGGCTCAGTCGGTTGAGTGTCCGACTTCAGCTCAGGTGATGGTCTCATGGCTTGTGAGTTCGAGCCCCGCATCAGACTCTTGTGTTGACAGCTCAGAGCCTGGAGTCTGCTTCAGATTCTGTGTCTCCCTCTCCCTCTCCCCCTCCCCACTCAGGCTCTGTCTCTCTCTTCTCAAAAATAAATAAAAACATTAAAAAAAAAAAATAAAAAAAAATAGAAGATCCACAGATCGCAAAATTAATTCTCTGTATAGGGTGATGCCTAAAATACCGCAGTCTTGTTTTGCTTTAATATTGTTTCCGTTTTAGAAAAAATGATATATGTGTATTGGAAGCATTTCAATCAGAAGAGAAATGTAGAAAAGAAAAAAAATGTCTCCTAAAATCTCACTATCCACAGCTAATGAATGTCTTCTTCAGAACTCTTCTGATTGCAAGGGATAGACACTTAACCTGGCTTAGGGGACTTTTTTGGCTTAGGTAATTGGTAAGTCCAAGTCCAAGTATGTCTATGTTCGGATTACATTGTATTTCAGTTACTTATTTAAAAACTTTTTTTAAGTTTATTTATTTTGAGAGAGAGTGAAAGAGCGCGCACAAGCACGGGAGGGGCAGAGAGAGAAGGAGAGAATCCCAAGTAGGCCCCGTCCCAAGCGCCATCAGAGCAGGGCCTGATGAGGGGCTTGAACCCACAAACTCTGAGATCGTGACCTGAGCCAAGATCAGGAGTCGGACACTTAACTGACTGCATCACTCAGACTCCCCTTATTTATTTATTTTTTAATTTTTAAATTTTATTTTAGAGAGAGCGCCTGCTTCTGGACCGGGGAGAGGGGAGAGGGGCAGAGAGAGAAGGAGAGAGAGAATCTTAGGCAAGCTCCACATTCAGCACGGAGCCCAATGTGGGGCTTGACCCCACGACCCTGGTGTCAGCCTGGGCTGAAGTCAAGAGTTGCTCACTCAACTGACTGGGCCCCCCAACTGCCCCCAGATTATATTTTAAAGAATCTCTGTCTCCTCTGGGTTAGCTTAATTCTCAGGCAGGCTCTCCGTTTGGGGCAAAGGTGGCCCCAAGCAGGTCCAGAGTTAAATGGTCTTTAATGCCTTCCATCTCAGGAGGACAAAGTGCCATTCTTCGCAGTGGCGGGCAGAAGTCCTGTTGCTGGGGGTGGCTGTGCTCTGGCAGAGGAGCATACAAACGGGCCACCAGCCCCCATTGAACTGTATGCGTTGAAGGGAAAAGGGAAAAGGAGTAGCTTCCTAAAGGGAAATTGGGCAGTTGTTTCCAAATGAAGAAGGCAGGCAAAAACAAACACTGTTAATATTTTGTGGAATTCATCCATTTCGGCTTCTTCACGGGCCAAATGCATCGCTATTCCAGGAAGCCAGAAATAGGTTTGCTCCCAGCAGGTCCTTGTGAGGAGGTGCTAAGTTGGGATTGATTCTTCCCTGTGACGGTAATGCCACAGAGTCACCTTTGTTTTTCTGTCATGCTTCTATTTTTCCTTCCATCTCCTTCTGTGACTTACTCAGAAGTGCAAGCATATATTACCTAGGCAAGGGGTGAAGGAACAGACATACATGAATTTTTATAAAATCAACTTATTCACAACACCGTGCCTGAAATTGTTACTGTGGTCTAAAATAAACCTTGTAGGCTGTTAGTATTTAAAAAAATTCTTTTTAAATGTTTGTTTATTTTTGAGAGAGAGAGAGAGAGAGAGAGAGAGAGAGAGAGAGAGAGAGAGCATGAGCAGGGGAGGGGCAGAGAGAGAGAGGGAGACACAGAATCTGAACTGTCAGCACAGAGCCCGGTGTGGGGCTTGAACCCATGAACCGTGAAATCACGACCTGAGCCGAAGTTGAATGCTTAACTGACTGAGCCATCCAGGTGCCCCCAGCCGGTTCGTATTAAGAGGCCATTAAGGGGTGGGTGCCTGGCTGGCTCAGTCAGTTAAGTGTCCCACTCTTGGTTTTGGCTCAGGTCATGATCTCATGGTTCATGAGTTCAAGCCCCTTGAGTCCCGTGCTGGGCTCTGTGCTGACAGAGCCAGCTTGGGATTCTCTGTCTCCCTCTCTCTCTCCCTCTCCCCCACTCACACTCCTCTCTCTCTCTCTCTCTCTGCCTCTCACTGCCCCCCTCAAAATAAATAAATAAACATTTAAAAAAAGAAACCATTAAGAACACAATCAGAGGGGCACCTGGGTGGCTCAGTCAGTTATGCGTCTGACTCTCGGTTTCAGCTCAGGTCACGATCTCATGATTTGTGAGTTCGGGCCCCGCATCTGGCTCTGCACCGACAGTGAGGAATGTGCTTGACATTCTCTCTCTCCCCCTCTCTCTCTGCCCCTCTCCCACTCAGCTCACTCTCTCTGTCCCTCTCAAAAATAAATAGATAAACTTCAAAAAAAAAAAAAGAACATAATCAGAAATCAGGGAATTCTTGGGAGGGGACATCTCAGAACTCGCCATTGACCTTAGGGATTTGGACAGGTGTTTCTAAGCCTGAGCAGAAATGCTCTAGCACTCACCCCGGTGTCAGTGCCGCCTCAATCTGAATCCCATTGTGTTGCCAGCCCTGTGACATTCTGGCCGTTAAGAAAGGCTACTTGTTGCCAAGGTTCCTCCTCCTCCTCCTTCTCTTCCTCTTTGCCAGCCCCAGCCTGGTGCTGCTAACCAAGGAGTTTGCCGATTAAAAGGGCTTCGGCTCCCAGGGTTCCCATGGCAACAGCCTCCTTGGAGGTCTTCGTTGCTTGCTCAAACTTTGATCTCTCCTAGTGGCTGCTGCTGTTTCTCTCCAAGATTTACAAACAGAAGAAGAGGGAAAAAGAATTGGGGGAGAAGACAGAAAAAGTTTACCCCTGGCAGAAAGGAGAGAAGGAATTAATTACAGAACCACACTCCAGCCATAAATCTGGGGGTGACTCCTCTGCAACATCTTTGGGTTCGGGCTGTGCCCATATTTTCATTTGTAGACTCAGTTATACCTCAGTTATCTTGGCCGCGCATGACAGACCTCAAGTGAACTTGATTCTACCAGGGGGGCGGAGCCATGTTTTCTATCTTCAGTGGACACCTGTGCCTTCAGATATCCAGAAGAGCCAAGATAACCGTGCCAGGTCCCGTGGAAGGAGAGCCAGAGAACTAATGAGAAGTGAGCTCTTTAGGCTTCATCCCCATTGCCTCTTTTCCCAGTTCTCTGTCCTAGCCCTAGCCTGCTCTGCCCTGAGCATACCTAGATGCCTCTGGTGGAAGAACTAGAAAGTTAGCCAGGCATCAACTAGAATATGATTCTGGTTAACGACCATGAGTAACAACCACTCTACTGTAGGAGCAGTGGAATGGGGGTGGTGGTTGCTCCAAAGAATTGAGATCACGCCTTTTACTCTTTGCGGAAAGCCTCCTATGGCCTTTAGACCTCTCTGGTGCATGATCGCACCCTTGCTGTATGATAGGCACCATGCAGTAGGGTTAGTTTTGCTTCAAGTATGGTTTACATTGACATTATGATTTACATTTAACTAGTCCTTTCTGCATACTATGTCCCTGGCACAGTAAGGATACAGAGTAAATAAATGATGCCATCTTGTCCCTATAAAAATGACGGTCTTTTGATAAAGATGAATATTGTATTTCTGAAGCAATTAGAGAATATGAGAAAAGGTTAAGACTGTATTTGATATTAAGTATCTAGGCTATTGGTTCGCAACAGGGTGCTATTTTGCCCCCCAGGAGACATTTGGCAGTGTCTAGAAACATTTTGGTTGTCACAACGTACGGGGTGCTGTGGCATCTAGTGGGTAGGAGCCAAGGAGGCTGCTAAATGCACAGGACAGCCCTCCTACACACAATTACGTGGCCCCAAATGGCCATAGTGCCAATGTGGCAAAACCCTGATCTTGACCCAAGGTCCGTGTGGATACTTGGCAAGGTCTCTTGTGAAGAGCTTTGGGGTCAGATACCCCTGGATTCAGTGCAGCCATATAACCTTGGGTAAGTCCATGTTAATGAGCCTCCGTTTTGAGCCTCAGTTTCCTCATCTGTAAAAATGGGGAATGGGTAATAAAAGCTACGTGGAAGGTCTATCGTGAGGATTAAATGGCACATGATAAGGAAGAACTCCCACCTGTTCCCACCCCTCACATTTCATTGCTGGTGCGTCATGCTTGCTCTGAGGGAACGCTCTGCAGGGAGTTCTGCGATCCGGGGCTCCTGCTAGAAGAGCTGATTTCCCTTTAGCCCATTCCATAGGCAGAGGCTTTAAAGAGCCATCTGTGCATTGGCAATCCTATTACTAATAGATTCTTGGCTCCTCAATGACATTTGGGCAATGCCTTGCCAGTGGTGACCCCACTCAGCCCCGTGGGAATCTTCGCGCTGGTGGATTTCAGGACATGCTGTCCCAGCATGCCATGTTTTGGTTGCTCTGTTTTGGTTGTTTTGGAAGCCCCTATTTCTCAGCGGATGGCCCCGAGTTAATTACATGGCGTTTAGTGCCTGAATGCAAGGAGTACAGCACACAGGCCATTCGCTGAAGTCTGGAGGGGTCTGGGGAAACGCCTGACTTGGATGAGGCCCTGGATGGCTCTAAAAGGCTTTAGACAGGGTGACTTCATAATTTACTGTCCAAATCAGGATCCTGGAGAGGGAAAAGGCGAAACTTTTAATAATTTATCTCAAGACAACAGGCATAAACTTACACTGTCCAAACTGGTATCATGGTCGCCCCATAAATGTGACCGCCTTGAAGGTTCTCCTTTCGGTTGAAGAGAACAGAACAGAAGATCCAGGGAAACTGGGGGCAAATGAGGGTCGGCCCCTTCCTTCACCTGCCGGACCCTCGCTGCTAGTTGGCGTTTCATTTGTGGGGTCCTAGGGATGTACACATCGCCCTTCATTTACCGGGACCGATCAGAGGGGCCCAGCACAGAGATGGTTAAGGACTGTTCACTGACAATTTTGCCCCAAGATGTCTGAAGGGTAAAGGGCGTCCACTTAGCTCTTCACGACCCCGGGTGGCGAAGAGAACAGACGAGGTCTCAAGGCGCCCTTTGCCTTCCCCCGTCCCCAGCCACCCAGTCCCGCGCTGCGCCTGCCCTCCCCTCCACCCCCTGCTCCCTCGCAGCCTGTATCCCGCCTCACTATTTTTGCTTCACTTGTTGCTCATCACTGTGGGAGGAAACTCGGCCTTCAATTAGCGCGCATTCCTGAAGCCTGCGGTTGCCGTGGTTACCCGGGCGCGAGCTGAAGCAGCTGGGTCAGCCCGCCAGCTTCATTGTCGTCTCTGGGCCCCGGGCGCGGGCGCGGGCGCGGGCGCGGGAGGGAGGGCGAGGGCGGGGACGGGCCCGCGGGGGAGTGGGCGTCACCGAGAAATCGGCTCAGCGCGGCCAAGAAAGAACTGGGGCCCCTGAAAGCCGGGCAGGAAAACAGTCGTTGCTTTTTTCTCCAGAGCCAGCTGCTGCCATTCAACGGTGCAGGTTCGCGTTCACACGCCGGCGGTGTCTGGACTTTGGTCTGGGAACTGCCCCCAGGGGGAAGCCCCTCAACGCTGAGAGGAAAGGGCAGAGACCCCCACCGCCCAAGACCCACAAGGAGTGGGGCCCTCCGTGTCTGCTTCAGACCATCAGGGCTTTGGGGGTTGAGGAAAGTGGCCATTTTGAGCACCTTTGTATTTAAGTTCCCTCTGCCAGCCTGTTGGATGGAGCCCGGTGAGCTCAGAAAATCACACTGGGTACCGAGGAAGCCTGTTCCCTTCTTCCATTAAATCCCACCCTGCCCCGGGTCGTTTAAGAGTCAAATCCAGCCGCCTTCTGCACTTCATCTCAGGCCAAGTTGTGCATGCTAGATTACTAATAATACTTGGCATCTCTTCCCTCTCTGGGGGCAGGGAACCGGTTCACTGTAGCACTTTGCAAAGGCAGAGTGCTTTGCAGTCGTTTTTATTATTGTTTATTAGTTTGTGGCGGAATGGTGAATGCCTTTTAATTAGCGCACACTGCGTTATGATGTATTCAGTAATCACCTTCTGGTCACGACTTTAAAAGATGCTGAACATTTTAGCCATCTCTAGCATTTCCTACATCCAAAAATTATACTTTAATTATGTAAGTGGAGCAATAATGCCACAAACAGAAGTTTCAGGGTTGCTGCCTGCAAATACTAGGAGACTAGAAAGCTGTTGCTATACATTTCTAAATTAAGGCTAAGCAAAGCTTGAGGGGGAATGAGATATTGGGGAAAAAATACTGGAATGGGGATGAGTAGGTCCAGTTTCTTCTGGTTCGATTATTAGCCATGCGACTTTGAGTACGGTTCTTAACCTCTCTGAGCCCCAGTTTCCTGAAAACACGGAAAGGGTGATGGATTCGATGACCTCTGAGATTCTTTCTAGCTGTAAAATCTAATTCTAGAATCTATGTGAATAGAAGAAGTCAGTGCCTTAGGCCAAGCTTATAATCACTGCCAAAAACCCGGAAGCATTTATTGACAGTTAATTGCAGACGGTCCAATACCAGTCATTTTGTGGAGAGAATTCACTGTCAGAATTATTCACTGTGGTTTAAAGTGACCTGAAATGTAAAAGATATAAAAAGAAAAAAGTACACGCACGAAATGCTTAAATACAGTTTATAAATATATGTAAAAGAAGGAAAGCTATACCCACATTTCTGATGGATAATCATAAATTATATTTATTGAATGCATGGTTGCTATGGGAATATAGAATAAAAACAGGGATGTGTGTGCACTTGGGAAATTTCCAGTCTATTTGGGATTCCAAATAGCCATAGAAACAACTTTACACTTGAGAGGGCCAGAGAAAGCCATCTGCTCTCCTAAAAGCCTTAGGAGAGAAACATTTTGGATGGTCAGGAGCTGAGAGACCAGGGGGTGGGTCACCCTGGTCTCTGAAAATGGATCTGGGGCATGTTCGGGAAGCTCCGAAATGGGATGAAGCCCAGAGGTGCATTAAACAGAAGGGAGAAGAAGGCAATCACAGGAACTGGGGAAGGAAAGTGTTCTAGGTTGTCCCGAGCAGAAAGTTCATTAGTATGGAATATTGGCAAACCGGAGGAGGACTCCGAGGTAGTAAGTTCAAAGGAATGAACGAAGATAACCGTGCTGTCAGTCTTGGTGACATCATAAGTAGGAAGGAAGTGTTGTTTTTCCTCCTTTTGGTAGGTTCCAGCGCATGACAACCTTCCGTTGTCAGCAAGTAATTGAATGGCAGATATGGGATCTGAAAACAAATTTGTCCTAAATCCAGAATTTCGGTACCTTCCATTGCACTTTGAAGGTTTGGACTAATCAGAGCTTAGATTTAAGTTTTAAAGGTAGAGACAAAGACGGCTTTTTTGGCTAAACTTTGTATGCGTGTTGGATCTCTCTGTAACGACTGCCTTTCAAACAACATAGCCTGATAGCTGTCAACTTGTCCGGTGGGGTTGTGCTTCAGTCCTCCTAGATAGCAAGATGGCCTTTGGGGACATTCCAGGACTAGAGGACACTAGTGGCATTGAGCTCTGAGTCCAGGGGCGCTAAACATTCTCCAGTGCATAGAATAGCGCTTAATGAATGAATGAATGAATGTTTCCTTCGTGTTCTTATTAAAAGCCTGTTTCCATCTGGGACAAAAAGCACTCTCATGAGCAGTGAACCAGAAGTCCAGCCAGAAGCTCAGCGTACCAGACAATGGGGATTTGCTACTGGAAACGTTGCAAGGTCCTGATGGGTGAGGAGGGCTGCTCAGGGTGTCAAACACAGAACACAGTCTCTGCCCCCGAGGGGTACCCGTCCTGTTAGGGGAGGCGCACATAAAGGTGTCGCTGCGGTCCAGAGCCACAAGGGCTCTCATGTAGGTGTGCACAGTGGTCCTTAGGAGCATGGAGGTTCCTCCCAGTGCAGCATTCTTCCAGGGCTCTGTCGCAACAGACTTCAGAGTCTTGTAGACTGTGCGTGGCAAGGGTTTGAACAAAGCAGGAGATTGAGAAGTGTATTAGCTGGTTATGTTAGTAAAGAAGGTAGGTAAATCCTGCCTTGAGGAGACTGGTTTACCAAGAAAAGAAGCATTTGAACCTTGGGGAAATGTCACTGGGACCTTGTTGTGAAATGTGCAAAGATAAGGCCACGAGTAGACGAGAAGTGGGAAACCAGGCAAAGGCTGTGTCTCTGGGGAACGGCCTCGTACTAGGTGGAACTTGATGTCAAAAATGTAAAAAAAGAAAAAAAAAAACCTGATGAGAATTGGATTTGGCAGGAGGAAGGCGCTTTGACCTTAGGAAGCTTTGTGAAACAGAAGCAGGTAACTAAAACGGAGTTCTTAAGCTGACGCTGTTAGATAAGCTGCATGGGCTAGTCAGCGAGCCTCCCCAGCAGAGGGTTCATATCTATTCCTCTGTGTCCCCACCTGGCACAGGACACATTTTTTTTTGTTGACTGAATGATGAATGAATGAATTGGAGACATTCCAGAGGTGAGCTGGTTCTCAGGAATACGTACAAAGAGAGTTGGGATAACTTCACTGTGTCAATGGCAGAACACAGCTGAGATGGGAATTGTACAGGTCAGGTACAGAGGCCGTTTTATTCACAATGCATGTTTCTGCCCTAATCAGTCAACTGAAAGCATGTGAATGTTTTTGGCTACAAACTTAGTGATGGTTTTGTACGGAGCCAACACTTGTGTGTGTGTGTGTGTGTGTGTGTGTGTGTGTGTGTGCATGTACCAACTGTTAGCATGCCTAATTTGTTTGGTCTATTCATGTGGAAATTTCTTAAAAGTAATGGATGCTGCAAGGTTTGGGGAAAACTGTTTGAGTGCTTGCATCAAAACTGTATTTTCTCCTGATAGTTTGAGCTGTGGTTTGAAAAGCATAAATGTGGCCTTCTGTTTGCAGGGTCTGCTTTCTGTCCTCTCCTCAGACATTAAAGTGACTTCTAATTGCCCCTCTTCAACTGAATCCTGGAAGAATAGCAATGATTCACAAGTGTTGGTAAAGTGCTACTGAAATCTGGAAAGTATTTACTGCAATTGTTTGGACTTTCTAAGATCAGACCTTCAGTGGATGTGGTAGAATAGGAAGAAAAGATAGAACGTTTCTAACTGGCAACAGCATTTCTTAGAAATTGTTAGGCAAGAAGCTGGAAGCAAATGGTTTTCAGAAATATATTATTCAAGCATAAATCTACTTTTAAAAATGCCTTTAGTCCCGATAAAATGTAAGTGTGGTATAAAAGCCAGAGAGCTTTGCACTCTGTCTGCTGTCGACATGATACAGTCATATTGTCTGCTACCCCAAAGCTCCTACTGTGTCCCGAATTCTGAAGACATTTAATTCCACCAACTATGGCAAGATTCTGTCACCCATGCCATCCTGGGGCAGCGCTACACAGGTGCATTATGGGAAAGCTTCATCTTCTTCTGAAGCATCAGCTATTGGTTGTTGCCTTAGGGAGAATGAGAAGCTCGATGTGTGTCTTTCGGTTGGAGTGACAAGTTTTGTGACTCTCCTGTCCATATTTCTGTGACCACCGTATCCTTAATTTTTTTCGTTACAAATGTAAAAAAAAAAAAAAATCTAGAAATGAAAATCTCTCCATTATTTCTCCACGATGCCCATTCCGGGTCCCCAGAAATAAGAAAGGCACACAATTTTGTGTGTAGTGCTGTCGCTTACAGATTTTAGCTTGAACATAGGTTCCTGGAGGTTATTTTCGCTGACATTCTCAGTGTAGAAACAATGTCAGAACACCAGCCTATGGGGAAATCCAGCTTTTGTATTTTACCTGCTCATAAATATTTTGGTTTATATATGCCCATCAGTGGTTGCAAGTGTGTGATCTCTGGGCTCCATACAGCCCCCAAACATACTTTGTATGGCTTGTCCAGTGTTTAAAAAAATACCTATGGATCAATCGCCAACACTGAAAATGCAGATATTTCACACAAAAACCTGGGGTCTGGCTAATCTTGAAAAATAGGAAGACCCGCAACCGTGAAGACACATTCCTGTGGGGCAGCGATTGGCCAGACTTGAGTAGTAGCAGCCTCTATAGACATATAATCTGCTATTTGCTACACCTCGTATTACATTTGGCTGGCTGCATTTATTTGTGTTACCTGCTGTCCCTGTAAACATACAGAGCCGAGTTTGCAACTCTAATCTCTAAGTATCATATTTGAGAACCAAGAATATTGTAGGCTGGGTGACCATATAATTAATCGTCCAAGATAAGACACCTAGAGAATAAAAAGTAGTGCTATTAGTATTTACACAGGTACAACAGGCACAAACGAGGATATATAGTCTCCCTATTTATAGATCACTTTATTCAGTCACCTCATTTGATTAATGAGAAAACTGAGACCTAGAAAGAGGAAGTAATTTGCCTATAGTCACCAAGTAAACTAATGGCAAAGGTGCCCTAAGTACCCTGATTCCCAGTTCACTGCTTTCTCCAATATAATGTCTTCTATATAATAAGTAGAAGCACCATATTTTCCTTGAATATATAGATTTTTTATAGTTAATAATTATCACATGGCTAATTTCCTGTGAGTGTACAAGTTGGTAGTTTATATCATCAATAACATTTCTTTTATAAATGTAGTTAATTATGGGCTATAGCGTATCTAGAGATGTTTAAAACGTTGGTAGGCTTGAGAGCTTAAGAGTAGACCCAAGAAAAGCTTCTCATTTTATTAGGTACAATAAGAGATACATTCAGAAGTGCTAATTGTCTGGATTTTAAAACAATCTTTTAATGTTTATTTTTGAGGGACAGAGACAGAGTGTGAGCGGGGGAGGGGCAGAGAGCAAGAGGGAGACAGAGAATCAGAAACAGGCTCCAGGCTCTGAGCTGTCAGCACAGAGCTCGATGCAGGGCTTGAACTCGGGAACAGGGAGATCATGACCTGAGTCGAAGTCAGGCGCTTAACTGGCTGAGCCACCCAGGCACCTCTGGATTTTTTTTTTTTTTTAAGCCACCATTAAGTAAGCATCCCATAACTAGCTTGTGAAAAACATTGTATATTGACTTTTTGATCAACTATTGGCCGGTAATTAATATTAATTATGTCTTCAAGAGATGGCCAACATCCCAAATTCCCCAGTCCTTGACCAGCTGTTTCTTTGTTGAGTTTCCAACAAGGGATTCCAAGGGATATTTGTACACAGAACACTCCAGATGAGACCAGTGCATGCTATGAATCACTTGCTCGGAATTTGGCCCCAAATTCCTGTCTGGTATCCCATCCTAGACCACACGTGAGTCTTAGAGGCACCTCTTAGCCTATCAGGAAGGCTTAGGTCAAAGGCTAGCCTGAGAAGTCTCCTTCAGGGTACACCTTTCTCCAGTGCCCCACTTGGCTCTCGTGTGTTCTTCCAAGAGACCTCGCAAGCGGCAGACCATCCTTACCAGGTCAGCTGCACAAGCTAGAAAGACAGAAGGAAAGAAGCCTTTCTTGCCAAGACCTAAAACAGAGCTAGCCTAAGTCACTTCATTCTAGACTTCCTTCCCCTTGGAATGTGTTGTGGTCCCAATGAAATTCTCAGATGAGGAACCATTACCCAAGCAGGAGACATAGCCAGGGCACCTTTTACCCCGTTGGCCTTGTATAGTTAGGGAGAGCCAAGAAAAAGTCAGTGTCCTGGAGGGACTCCTTTTTCTTTGACTTTTGTCAGACCTTCTTTTCCATAGAGTAGTTTGACAGAGGCGGGGACCAGTGACCGATCATGATCAACCTTTCGACTGAAAATATAAACTGCACGTGGGTAATTTTTTCTCTGATGCACCTCAATAAACTCGTTTTCTTTCTTTTTTTTTTTTAATTTTTTTTTTCAACATTTATTTATTTTTGGGACAGAGAGAGACAGAACATGAATGGGGGAGGGGCAGAGAGAGAGGGAGACACAGAATCGGAAACAGGCTCCAGGCTCTGAGCCGTCAGCCCAGAGCCTGACGCGGGGCTCGAACTCACGGAGCGCGAGATCGTGACCTGGCTGAAGTCGGACGCTTAACCGACTGCGCCACCCAGGCGCCCCAATAAACTCGTTTTCTAAATGGGCCCACTCCACATGCATGAAACAGACCCCTAAACCTGTGTGTTCAGCAGTGACGTGTGGCTGCTGAGCCTTTGAAGTGCTGCTATGAGTAAAATATAGTATTCAATTAATTTCTTGTTTTACTCTGTGATGTGATGACTAGAAAAGCTAAAAATTACCTGTCGCTCACATTATATTTCTAGTGGATAGAGCCGTTCTAGAGGCATATGTTCTGCGTGTTAAGCGAAGTAAGATTCAGTTGCGTGCTTAAGTGGTACCACGGCGACTTTTTGCCATTAGAAGTGGGACAGGAGGGCAGTTTGCCAGTTGTTTCATAATGCAAGACTTGTTTATTAGCAGGGGCTTCCGTGGGGTAGACAGCATGAGCAGGGGAGGGGCACAGAGGGAAGGGCAGAGAGAGGGAGGGGCAGAGAATCCCAAGCAACCTCAACACTGTCAGCGCAGAGCCCGATGTGGGGCTCGGACTCACGACCCGTGAGATCATGACCTGCGCTGAAACCAAGAGTCAGATGCTTAACTGACTGAGCCACCCAGGCACCCCTAAATCAGGCTAGTATTTAAAAGGACTAACCCCCTCCCCCACATCCTCTACAGTCTTGGTTCCTGCGTAGCTCTTTGCCTCCCAGAACCCCGAGGGGGTGCCTGTTCTGACACCAGCTGGCTCTTAAGCTCGTATGCCGAACCATGCAGAAGGCACTTGGGTTCATACAACGCCAGCTGTGGGTCCCATATGGAAAATCCAGACCATATACATATGTATAGAGTATTTCTGAAACCAGAAGGAGTGTAGAGGAGCGTGTAACTCATCTAGCTTTATCTTTTCCTCGCCTTTGAACATTTTAATCATCGAAACATCGTTAGGCTATAAATAGAACATGTAGTGAGACAATTCTGAGTTAAAACCAAATATGTACTTTTGTTTTTATATGGACATAGGACTGTGTATGGATGTATGAAAATGTAGGTTGAACGTTTGGATACAGATGGGTTTGACTTTCCAATAAAATGTGTGGAGAAGAATGTATAAATGAATGGAGATGGTATGTGTCAGTCTGCTCAAGCAGGGTTTTTCATATTTGAAGCAGAGAATTTCCTCCTTCTATAAATAGTTGGAGAGAAAGTTCTGTTTCTGCTTCCATCTGGTTTAGGTGCAGAGTTCACTTAGATGGCTGCCAAAGAGTGATGGAGAAAGTTATTCTCTTGACTAAGCCCCGCCTCGGCGACTTGCCTCTCCTACCCCAAGGAGCATGGGTCCATGGCCCTGGTGTAGGGACGGTGCCACGTGGAGCCAGCCTTCAAGCTGTATTTTCCTTTGGAGTAACCTCTTTCCTTCTTCTTTTCCTTCCACCTCTTCCAGGCAGGACAGGGCTGCTTGCTGATCTCTTGCCCAGTTTTGCTGTGGAGATTATGCCAGGTATTCACTCATTTAACTCTTTATTTGCTTAATTTGCTGTCACTCCATCTGTCTTGCTTCTGCATTAGTCGCTAATTGTTCCTTTAATTTGTTTGCATATTTGTCTGTATTATTTCTGTGTTCTTTTCCAGGATGAACTGAGCCCAATGGAAGAGCCTTTAGATTGTATTTCTTCTATTAGTAGGTCCTAAAAGGATAATGATTAAAAATAAGCTGCAAGGGGGACCCAGTCCTTCAGTGTCAGGTGTGCAGGCTCTTTGGCAAACTCCATAACCATTCAGCATCTCAGCTGTCCCCAGGCAGCTAGAAGTATCCCTAACAAAGTAACTATTTATCTGCATTTCCTTATTCCCTAAGTTATATGTTTACCCATTCATTAGGGTATGACCATGTTACTCTGAATTGCCTTTTGTAACTTGACCAAAACAGTTTTTCAAACCTTATGAAGTCAGTACACCCCTCCTTCCTTGAAAAGTACATACTTACAGACCTACATTGCTTTGTATACAATTTCAGGGGCTCCTTGGGCCCCATAAGCCCCTGGGATCCATGGACCATATGTCAGGGAAACCCCAGATGCACAGCTCTGTCATTTCATATAGCTTAAGTTGAATGCACCAGCCTAGACAAGCCAGCATCCGTTCAGTGCAACACTATAGTCCGTAATGGAAGGAGGTTCCATGAGAAACGGGAATGAACTACGGGAAAGGACATATCCAAACTCAGAGAATACTAAAGACCATGATTCATTCTTGCTCTGGAGGGCTACTGCCAAAGGGTTGAGAGCTGCATGATAGTTGGGAGCAACAGAGAGATACAGACTATTCCCGGCCATAGGTTTTGACTTTATTCAGCTTTTAAAACATCCAAAGTCTTCACAGTTGAATTTCACTAATTATTCTTCCACGAATTCTCCTGTTTTGCCATTAGCTGGCCAACCCAAATATAAACATGCTTCCTGTTGGTGTTGACCCCAGGGACACAAATAGATATCTCTTTGTGATCCCCCTTATCCAGAGTGCTGTCAGCTTATACTCGTTTGTTCATCGCCCGCAAACATACACATACAATGTTACGAAGCATCGCTTCAAACTAGATGTTATGTTCCCCCAGTCCCAGGAAAGAGTTATTGTATTTTTCATATCTGGTCCTGGTCCCTTGAATATCCCTCCCTTTTGACTCCAAGAATCCTTGCGTGGATAACATTCTTTTGTTTCTCCAGGGTAACCTGCCAGTCCTCTATCTTTGACTGCTTGACCCAAGACTGTTGTAGCCTCCATGCCACAACACTCATCTAATCCTCAGAGCTCATATCTGTCTCCGGAGACAGAATGTTACTGGGTTATTGCTAAGGTCCAGGACAAAGCCCTGAGCTATCTATGGCCCTCAGCAGGAATGTTTTCTAGACCGTTCTCAGCAGGCGCAGGGCCTTCTCATTTCCTCACTGAAGAGATGGTGACCTGGTTAATTTGAATGGGGATGAGTGGATGGGGTGACGAGGGACGTTTCAGGAAATATAAGTTGTTGGTTTTTTTCTCTGAGGAAACTGTGTTCTAGACAAAGGTCAAAGAATTTTATCATTATCACAAAACCCTTTATATAACAAAAATGTCATATTCTCAAGCTCCAACTGAATGTCCATTTAACTGAAAGAACATTTAATAACCAAAATTCAAGAAAAACAATATATACTTAAAGTTCATTGTAAAGGGACTTTTTGGTAGGCGGCTTTCGATCAAAATGAATTACTTTGATTTTTTTGACTTTTAAAGGAACTCATGGCTCACTCTAGTCTGTCCAGTCTATAGGAAGTTGGGTCCTATAGCCAAATCCCAAAAGCGTGACACAAAGTCACTCGAAGGTCACAGTCATTTTTATCTAAGCCAAATGGAATTTGTTTCCCTTCTCTTAATCTTTTGGATGAGCAAATGCACTAGAAGCTGTGGTCATCCTCTGGTAGAGGTGGGAAAGTAACAGGAGTTAACAAACGTAGCCAGTATAGTCCTCAAAGCCCTGAGCCATCTTCCCCGCAGCTACGCTGGCTATTCAGCATGGTCAACCTGAGCGTGATCCAACCGAGCCATTCTTGGGGGCGTGGTGACATCATATTCTCCACCTGAGTCTTTGTCTCTAGATTTCTCTAGCCATGGTTTGTTCCACAGGTTTTGTTCCAGAAGGTTTTGATCTCAGCCTCGATGCTGAGTCTGGGAAGGGTGTTACGGGGTGGTCAGCAGGGAAAGTTAGATGAACACATAAGGAACCTGGACCACTTAAATGTGTGCCGGTTTAGACCGTGGAGACATAGAGAACTTTCTTGCAGGACTTACAGTTTTATAGGAAAGAGTAACTTGACCGCAAGAGGAACATATTCACAGAACCCACCTCTTCGTAGCTCAGCAAGCAAGGTTCCTCC